CTATGTTTCCCCTTTTCCAGTCAGTGGGAACTTCACCAGACTGCCACGACTTCTGAAATATGATGGATAGTGGCTTAGCAACTTCATCTGCCAGTTCCCTCAGGACCCATGGATGCAGCTTATCAGGTCCCATGGACTTGTCCACCTTCAGGTTTTTTAGATGGTCTCGGACCTGATCTTCTCCTACAGTGGGTGGTTCTTCATTCTCCCAGTCCTTGCCTTTGCCTTCTGTGGCTTGGGCTGTGCAGCTGGAGCTCTTGCCAGTGAAGACTGAGGCAAAGAAGTCATTGAGAACCTCAGCCTTCTCCATATCCCGGGTAGCCAGGTCCCCCGTTTCCTTCTGGAGAGGGCCTACGTTTTCCCTAACCTGATCTGTGGTTGCTCAGACAATTGCTCTGTATTCTTCACAGGCTACCTGTCCTTGTTTCCACCCTCTGTAGGCCTTCTTTTTGTGTCCAAGTTGATCCAGGAGCTCCTTGTTCATCCATGCAGGCCTCCTGGTGTTCCTACCTGACTTTCTCTTTGTTGGGATGCACCGCTCCTGAACTTGGTGATCCTTGAATATTAACATGCCTCAAAAAGCATCAGTGTATCAAAGTAACGTCCAAAGAGCAACACTCCAGCCTGGGGCTGGGCCAGCCACCACCATGCAAAGACCACTGAGGGTTAAATGCAAGCAGCCCGCTTGGGAACCGTGATCTGGAAGGAGAGCTGGGTCAGGCTGCTCCCTGCTCTCAAACCTGGTACCAAACCTTCACAACACTGCCACGCTCTGAAGTGCTAATAAACAGTTCATGCAGACAGCTGTTCTCATCCATCTGCACCCTCTGGCTACACAGCATAGCCAGGAGCGGGCTGCTCTGGACATGAGTTCTGGCAGCGATTGGCAACCAGTGGTTTTCACCTCTGGTGTGTCAGTGGATTATTCTGTCAAAAGTGGTAAACGAGCTGTTCTGCCCGGTTCTGTATTGCTGTGGGTCTACCAGTGCTGCAAACTGGGGTGTAAGCTTTGCCACTCCGCCCCTTGTTCTGTTAGCCCCGGCAGAGCACACCTACGGAGGCAACTGAAGAAACCCGTTATGGAGCGTGTGAAAGAGTCAGCAGTGTGCCCAGGTGGCCAAAAAGGCCAATGGGATACTGGCGTGTATCAAGAATAGTGTGACCAGCAGGAGCAGGGAAGTGATCCTGCCCCTGTACTCGGCACTGGTGAGGCCGCACCTGGAATACTGTGTCCAGTTTTGGGCCCCTCGCTTTAAGAGAGATATTGAGCTCCTGGAGCGAGTCCAAAGAAGGGCGACTAAACTGGTCAAGGGGCTGGAAAATAGAACTTATGAGGAGCGGCTGAGGGAGTTGGGGCTGTTTAGCCTGAAGAAGAGGAGGCTGAGGGGAGACCTGATTACGGCCTACAAATACTTGAGAAAAGATGGTGGGGGGGTGGGGGAAGGGCTCTTTACATTAGTGATGGGTGATAGAACAAGAGGAAATGGGTATAAGCTTAGTCAGGGGAGATTCAGGTTGGATGTTAGGAAGTATTTCTTCTCTGAAAGGGTTGTCAGCCACTGGAATAGGCTGCCCAGGGAGGTGGTTGAGTCCCCATCCCTGGATGTGTTTAAGAATAGGGTGGATGATCTACTTGAGGATATGGTTTAATGGGGATTAGGGATGGTTGGACTCGATGATCTCTAAGGTCTTTTCCAACCTAGAAATCTATGAATGTATGAATGAAAGCTGTGCGGACTGAAAACTCAGGAGGAGGTCACTGTACTGGAAGGCTGCGTTGCCTGTCCCAAGCTTTCTGGATGCCTGTGTTAGGCTGGGCTGGACCCTGATTTGCAGGGGTGCTTAGCTCAGATGCCAGGGAAAGGGAGTTGGTCCTGCAGGAAGCAGAGGTGTTCGGCTTCATCTTTTATTTTTCTGGCACCACTAGTCCATCATTTACCCACCCAACCCTTACCTGGGCAACCTCCAGCAATCTTTGAAGTCATCAGCACTGTCTAGTAGCCTGCTCCAAAGCTGCAGGCCCCAAGATGCTCAGTTCCTGTGAGACTGCCTTGGAAAGAACAGTTCAGGTGGTCTTCTGGGGAGCTGGGGTTGCCCAGAGATGCTCAGTCAGGTTGAGAGGGAAGGGTGTTGATGTTCTGGCTGCCTGATCCAGATTCTTTTTTACCTATTTCCCTATCACATAAACAGTGTTTTTCTGTCACAGTGAAGGTAACATTCTAAAACACTTGTGACACTCTTGGATGCTGTGATGATAAATTACCTAAGGAGGTGGGGAGAAAACAGGGGAGGCAACTAATTCTGCAATCTCTTCCCTCTGAGAAGAGGACAAGTCAGGGACAACTGACTGAACATGCTTGTCAGCTGCTTCTCTCCTTTTGTGCCAAGTGGCCTGTGGAGGTTGGGGGGAACCCAGTCTGCAGTTGTGTAGCTGCATGTCTCCTCCTGAAGGCCTTGTGCAAGAAGGCCAAGTCAGAGTTCTGTAGGTAACATGTGGTGGTATTTCCAAGCCTTTGAGTACTACTGCAGTGTAAATGAGTGCTTATTTCTTGTTGGCTGGCTGAGTTTTGTACTTGACTCGGAAACATCATCAGTGTAGGTGACACTTTACAATAGAAGAGGAATTGAGCAGTGAGCCGCTGCGTGGGCCAAAAGGGCTCCTGGCACAATGGCCACACATGGGTATAGCTCAGGAGAAAGGGGAACAGAGGGAACGAACTCTGTTTGCCGCAACCAGTTAGCAGAGAGATGCTCTGGGTGGCTCCCAAGCAATTCTGAGTGCCTCCTGTGGCATAAAAAGGTGTAGAGAAGTTGTCCCATCTGCTCCAAGTTTCAGCAGCTGCTGTGGCAACAGATTTTCCCCACAGCATTGTACTCTCTACCATTGACGAAAGAGGTACCTGTTAAACTGCTGAGAATATTTCCGGTACTCAAACAGGTCCCCACAATTTAGCAAGAAGTATGTCTCTCTCTTGGTCTGCAGATGGAGCAGGACATTTGTCTATATGCCTGAATGTGAAATGTGCCATGAGTCTGTTGCTTCAGCTGATCCTAAGAGTTAGACAGGCTTAAAGTGAAAGCAAGTTCTAGCCACGTGAGGCAAAGGATTGGGACTTTGGTTACAAAATGTGAAATTATTGCAGAAAGGAAAAATAAAGAAACACAGAAGAGATAACAGTTAATACTCAAGAGGCATGGGACAGTGGTGTCTTTGAAACTTATTTAAGAATAAATCTCCTCGAGAACAAAGTCGTCTTGAAAGGCTGCTGCTCAGACCCCTGTTAACCTTTTCTCTCAAGAAGTAAATTGAATTGCAGTTATAAAGCTGGCAGAACTCATACCAGAGGGTTTTTGGCTTCACTCAGCACTTCATCTCAGGGTTTACTGGCATTTACAAGGCACTGCCTATGATGCATTCACACATGTGATTAGGTTCAAGGGTCGCTTGCACTGCAGCAGTGTAACAAATTTTCCCACAGTGGAATGAATCTCTAAAGTTTTCTTTTGCTTCTTAAATCTTGCCCAAAAGCTAGTAAGTTGAACTTTGCCCAGCTGTATCTCGCTGTTTGTCCCACAGTAAGTGGGATAGTTAGAGGCAGAACGTGGGAACATGTGCTCCAGGGGTTAAGGGCAGGCCTGGATCACCATGCCGTGATGGAATAGGGTGGGTGGGGATGCTTGGTTTTCCATGCCCCAAAATATCTCAGGAGGGATCTTTGACGGATTTTCTTATGAGAAGTTTGGGAAGCTAATGTGAATTTAAAAGGAAAAATCTGGATTTCTCCCTCTTTCAGCCAGGCAGATACGTGGCATCAACAAGGGGCGTTGGGGCTGTTTTGCAAGGTCACTGTGACCTGCCAAAGGAGAGGAATTCTAAGCAATACAAATAGCCTGTTCTCATTGCAGTTTCCTCTTTTGTGGTTTCTTGTTTTTATTTGAATGGCTATTGAAAATTTTACAAGAAAATTTCTGGCATGTGCTATGTCTATGCCTATTAGTCAGGATAGGGGAGATGCAAGGAGAAAACGAAAAGTGCATTCAGCACTCGAGACTTCACATAGGTAACCAGAGGGTTTTTTAGAAATATCTTTGTAGGATAACTAGTTCCTTTTTAAAAATAGGCTAGAATGTTTGGTATGACTGAAGCAAAGTTCTGTTCCTCATACTGTTGGTGGTATATCTGTGTAAAATAGCTGAAATCATTGTGCTCTTATTGGCTCCCAGAGTGCCTTATGGGGCAGCTCTGTACCTTGACATTGTACCCACAGTGAGGTATTGGCATTCTTCACTTGTTTCAGTAGGAGGTCTCATGCTTTTTCTGTCTCAGGCTAATAGGAAGGCCTGGCCATTGGGTTCCCCCCAGTCTCCAGTGAAACAGCTGTGGGGAAAAGATAGCACCAAGGATTTTCTGGGCCTCTCTCATGTGGAATCTCTGTTGTGACACTTACATGTCACTGTTCAAAAATACCACCAGCTTGATGCCTGCCAACTAGATTGTACTACTGGGATAACAAGCAGTATTTAGCAATCACAGAAGACATATCAGAGGTGAAACTGAGCAGTGTTCTCTGCTGTGATGTAACAGTCTCTCCTTGGTTTTGGTAGTTGCTTAATTTAGGGGGTGTTTGTAGGTAGAAGTCTGACTATGTGCTGTATCTATTGTGCAACAGATGTCATCCTCTGGGATATCCTCCATGATGCTTTCTCTTTTTTCCAGATTGTCCCCAGCCACCACAGCCTGAGAATGGAGGCTATAAGTGCCACCCTAGCCCCTGCAACAACCCTCTGACTTCAGGCAGTGTCATAGAGTATCTGTGTGTCGAAGGCTATATGCTGAAAGGAGATTATAAATACCTGACCTGCAAGAATGGAGAGTGGAACCCAGCCATGGAAGTCACCTGCAGGCTCAGCCCGGGTGAGTGCTCCCTGACTCCAGTAGGACAATCAGAATTGCCCTTGCATTGGTTTTTCGGGTTATCCTTAAACACCGAGTCAGTGTGATGCTGAGGAAGCCCATACAGCTGCCCCTCATTACTCCAGCAATTTCATAAATGTGGCTCACAATCAAAGCTCTTTATTAAAAATGCCTCTTCTGTAACAGCCCATCAGATGCAAGTTCAGAGTCCCTCATGCAAGGAGACAACCCATGGAAAGGAGTATAAAGGAGGCAACTTGTTACTTATGTGGAGCCTCGTGTTTTGACGGCTCTCATCCCAGAAACGGGGAGGCCCTCACTGAAGCATTTTCCGTGCTGTTTGGTTTTGCTCCTGATGGGTTTGACAGTACGTCTCCCTCAGTGGTGTACCTGTCTGTCCACATGTGCACATGTGTGTGAGTACGTGGAGCTGATCTTCCTTGCAAACAGGTTAACTAATGGTTGGCCTCCTGTGGCAAAGAGCTTAATGGTGCCGCTTTTCGCTGTACTGGAAGGAAAAGACATTGCTGACAGATGATTTCTGCTCTCCAAATGGAAGTGGACAGCTTTTGTTTTGTGGATCTCTCCCATCTGAGCAGGAATTCCTTCATCAAAGCAAGAAAGTAGAAAGGTTTGCAGAAAAATGTTCATCATGCAGCTCTTAGTTTGCCTATGGCTCCTCTGGTTTTCAAAGCATGCATGCTGGATAAAGGGAGAGCTCTCCTTCAAGTTTGGCTTGTTGGTAGAGTCTTACTGCTCAGTCATCCTGAGTCAGCAAGATGTACGCTCTGGGATTAAGTCTCATAATCTATAAAGCAAAACATGTTAGCTTAATCAAAAGGAAACAAAAAACACCTTCTTTAAGCTCTCTATGGAGCCCACAGCATATCAGTGATCTCTGGAAGGTCCTGTCCTCTCCCAAAGACACTGTCTTATCAATGTCTCTGTCACAGCCACTCCAATAGCTCCTTCCCTATGATGTATAAGGAAGGGAAATGGTAGTTTACCTGTCAGCAACTAGATCTTGAAGAGACTTTTCAAATTCAGCTTGACCTTACTTTCCATAGTGGTCTCCTTTCCCCTTGCTGCATCCAGGCTGGACAACAAAGCTGTGCTATTTCAGTTAGTGTTCCTTGGGTGACATTCCTGTATGGTGGCACTTGGTCTACATCAAGGCTGAAGAGATTGTGTTGTGATGAGCAGCAATCCCTCAAATTTCTTGAGCATCCTGAAGGATCCAGTGGCCTTATCAAAAATACAGGGCCTCAAAAGTTGGACCCAGTGAAAAAGCCATTACTTTCACAGCACAGGCTTTGAAACAACTAGTCAGAGACAGCTGAGGTTTAACTAGTGGGTCTCTTTCATGGGACTAAAGGAGGAGGAGGAGGTGGTTAGGGAAAAGGCAGTGTGTGTTAAAATGATTGGTAATGGATAAGATCCCACCTGCTTTACACAGAGTAAATGAAATCCGTAGCAGTTATCAGATGTTTTGTGTAGCTCTAGGCCTGTCAGCCGCATAGCCTTTTGACAGTTTATTGTATTGAGTTAGCAAGCATCTTGTTGGAGAATGAGATGGTGAATGAGCTGGAGTGTACCCTGGGTAGCGAGCAGTGTTACAGCATTGTGAACTGATGCTGAAGATGGAGCACCTCTATTTGCCTACCCTCTACCCTGTCAGTGTGCTTACGGCCTTGAGTAACATTGAAAACGGAAATCCTTACTCAATCCTATTTGCCATAGGGAAAAGCGTACCAGACATTGTTTTTCCCTGGGGAGAGGTAAAGCTATGTCTCAAAAATGTCAGGAAAACAAGTTCAAAACAGCTAAACCAATAGGTTTGGCCCCAAGACAAGATGCAGAAAATGCAAACTGGCTTTCCAGCTTGCATGCCTATTGTGAGCACACATTTCAGGCTGTAGGCTTAAAAACAGTGGTCCTCCAGCTTCTTCTGTTTGCATGCTCTTCTTCCCGTCATCCCGATCTGCAGGTATATCCTGCATCCCCCTGCAGTTTGAGACCTGTGCTCCCAAAGAATGTGTTGAATGTAGCAAAAAGGAATTGAGGAATTGCATACCTGGGAACGTCCTGAATGCGAAATGCACGATAGTGTTTGCCGATGGGGAAATGAAGTTTTTCAGAGTTCTGCCGAAAACATGAATGCGGGACACGGGCAACACATATACAGACAGTTATTTGCTCGAGGGAGGTGAAAGGACTAGTGTAGCATGCTTGGCGTGATACGCAGTGCTCAGCAACACCAGCAACAGGCTGTTCTCTCTCTTCTCTCCAAATTTATTCTTGTCTTGCGAGGGACCTTTGAAAGCAAGATGGGTTCCCATACAGTCACACGGCACAGCTGAGGAAGGGTGGGAAGGAGTAATGTGAACAGGGCACGTGTATCTAACACTGAAAACTCAGCATCCTGAAGTGACATCTGCCTTCCCTCTCTGTTCCCTGGCATATGTTTGTGTGAGAGAGAAACTGAATACTTGCTGCATCTTAAATATACTCAGCCAGGTGACTTCTGCCTTTTCCTTTGGGAGACTGTTCCATTAGCCAAGAAAACCTGTTATTTGGAACTTTTCCTATTGTTTGGCCTAAAATATCCTGCTTATTGTGCTAAACAATCATGGGCCTTGCTGGTGACATCAGGATATTTTTTAGCTTTTGCTCAGCCAGATTTATATATAACATGACCCTTACCACCATCTGTCAGTTCCCGTGGCCTGCTTCCATTGCTTTTCTGTTTGCCTTGTGTTTTTCCAAAGGACTCTTGTACGTGCATGTTTAGGTTCCCTTTACAGCTGACAGAGATGTGTCAGCTTGAACTATGAACTGTCCTATATAAGAGAGAGCTGGTGTGCCTTGACTGTATGGGAAACTTGGGCTCCTCCCATGTGCACCCAAGTATAACTCCTGAGGGCAGGCAACGTGGATGTTTTTCTTTCCCTATGGCAGTGATTTCAGGGAGTGGATCATTTTACCTTGTGTTCCTCTTGGTTTTGTAGAAAAGGACTCTCCTCCAACAATTGGCGTGCCCACGCTGTCCATAGTAGCCTCCACAGCAAGCTCCGTCGCCCTGATTCTTCTCTTAGTTGTGCTGTTTGTTTTGCTGCAGCCAAAGCTGAAGTCGTTCCATCATAGCAGGTAAGTGTAGCTGGGGTTCGGAAGGGCTTAGCAGCATGCTGTTTCTTGGCAGCAGAAACCCACTAAAGTACTTGGTTTAGACCCTCATTTTGGAGCAACTTGCCTCCTCGCTTCTCTGCCCCTGTTTATCACCTCAGTGGCACCTCTGACCCATGGTCCAGCAGTAGTCTGAAAGGATCATCTGCAATACCCAGCTGCAATCCCCATTCTAACATGCCATCTGATGAGTGGTTTCCTTGCTCTTTTTCCTTGGCCTTGAATGTGAAAAGTTATGATCCCTCCTAGTCTGACTATAGATCAATCTCCTGCTTCTTCTAGCCTTGGATAGCTGCTGAAGTATGTGTCTAGGTGTACGCATGTATCTCCCTCAGTCTGTTTGTGAGATCCAATGGACACAGATTCTGGCTGATTAGATACACATGCAAATCTACCATCTTTCCCTGGTATGGGAGAACTCTCCTGGCCTGGGTTTGTAGATGAGAGGAGGCACTCATCCGTAACACTGCTGCTAGCTGAGGTCCACGAAGTCACTGTAGACTCTCTTCCAAATCAGCTGCTAGTACTCCTTAAGTAAGAGCAGAGACATGACTGTCCAGCAGTGGGGAGGTAGAGAGGTGGGGCATGGAGTCTGCCCTTTTCTGAAGAAGGCCAAACCACTGGAAAAGAAAAATTCAATCTCAGGACTCTGACTCATGAGCCAAGGTGATTCACACTGTGCCAATTTAAGAGCTGTCTGCCCCACCCCGCCAGAGGTTCTCACCAGCAGCAAAGGTGGCAGAACAGGCGGTGCTGGGTGCTGCAGAATATAGCAGTGTAGCAAGTGAAATGAGTGGCAGTCAGAGCTCTTTACCTGCCACCTGTGACAGCAGAGGGCTCCGAGTCATGATCTTTGTCAGATTTAGCTATGGAGGCAGGTGAAGTGGGAGGCATTGTAACCTTTTCTGCTCTTGGGCACTGTGAATTACAGCCCCTGCTCGTGTTTATGGCAGTTCACAGCAGGACTGCATGGCCATGGTTGCTTGACCTTGTTAAACCACCATTCATGTTTCTATCTGTTCTCTCCTAAATAAGTCAGTGGTGAGCATTAGAGTTCTGCGGTGGGAGGTTACTGGAGTTCTCAGTAATATATATAAAAATATAAATGCTCAACTTGATATTATTTTTTTTCCCCCCTCACTCTTCTTTATTTCTTTTCCTGAGGCGAGACCAAGGTGTGTCTGGAGATCAGGTGTCTATCATGGTGGATGGTGTCCAAGTGGCCTTGCCATCCTACGAAGAAGCAGTCTATGGCAGCACAGGGAACTGCATTCCACCCTCGGACTCCCGAGTGCAGATCGTGCTCTCGGAGGGAGCTGGACAGAACGGAGCCAGAGAGATGCAGCAGCAGGACCAAGGGGCTCGCAATAGCTTTGAAAGAGAAGATGAAGCCCCCGGACATTCTGGACTGTGTGAAGCCAGTGGCTCTCAGCGCTCTGAAACTGTTCTTGTGCATCAGGCTGCTACCTCTTCTTGGGTAGCTGGCATGGCTAGCAGTAGACCTGTGCAGAAAGAGGTCCAAGATTCAGAAAGCAGTGACATACAGAGCCTTCTATCACTCACTTCCTCCGAGGAATACACAGATGGTATGTGACTTGGGCAAGGAGCACTGAATGAGACCCTTATAAGAGCAGGTTCTACAGTTGACTACCTAGGATGAAAATAGCAAGGAACACCCCTATGTATGTCAGGCACCAGAGGGGCCTTTGCAAAGAGATGTCCCAGTCTCCATGGCATGTTTCACAACTTAGATGCGCAAGCAGTATTTCATACCTTCTTCTGAAGTGTGCAGCACCCTCAAACTGGGAACCTAGGGCAGTCTGGAAAGACTTTTGGGGTTCTGTTGCTCACTCTTGTTTTCTTAGCAAAGGATTTGCAGAGAAATGCCAGCCTCCAGCATCATAATGCAAATGCAGTAAAATAGCTGTGGAAAACAAGTTGGGGGAGTGGGAGGATATGCTTGGAATACAAACCCTTTGTGATCTTTGGGCTTCTTTGTTTTTAGACTGTTTTAGTAAGCAGCTTACTGACACAGTGCATACAGTGCTGCAGCCCTGGCATGCAAGAAGACCTAAAAGGGATGTGCTTGAACTTAACTGTACCAGGCAGAGGGGCAGGTCTGTTAAACAGTCAGTGCATCTTGCTTTCTTCACTTCTGTTCTGCTCTGAAGGAGTGGCTTTACCATGCCAGAGCTGATGTGAAGCTGCAGCTTAAGATTGCTTCTGCAGAGACTGCCGTGTCTGAGGCAGGAAGCATAACTGGCTTGTAGGTAGCTCAGGGCAGAACTTCTCCTTTCCGTGGTGTCAAGCCCTACAGCTGTAGTAATGCCATCCAGAACCCTTGCAGTAAAAACAGTTAAAGAGGATTTCTACTAAAAGGCGAAAATGGCGATGTGTCCCAAGATGGGCATTAAACCTTAAGTGTATAAACAGCAGAAATCCAAAAGTGGAGCTTAAAAAAAAATGTCCGCAGTGTAGAAATTAGAGGATGTTGCCTCTGCACTGTCATTTTTATCACTGCCTGAAACATGTATTGCCCCTAAGGCGTATTGTACCCTAGCAGGCTGCCCCTTGCAGCAGACCGTAAAGTTGTGCTTATGGCTCACAGATGAGGAGCTGCAGCTGCTAGAGGAGGTTACATTTCTTCAAGTTAGGTAAGGGCAGGTGTGATCCTTGTATTTCCAGCCATCTCTGTCACAGTAAGAAACATATCTTGGACATTTTGAGGAACTAAAAGATTGGTGAGGTCGTGGGAAAGAAGGACACTGTTAGTCTTAAGGGAATTTATTAGTATCCCCTAAACAACATTGATGAGACTTTACTGGGAATACTGTATCTTGTTGTGGGGACCTGCAGTTCAAGACAGATGTGGAGAAACTGGACAGGCTCTGTTGGAGGCCCACCAAGATAGCCAGGGGCCTTTGGGGTGTGACCGAGGGAGCTGAGCTTCTTTAATCTGATGCAAAAGCAGCTGAGGGCCAAGCCAACAATTGACTGCGATTACTTTACAGGGAGTTGAAAAGAGTATGGAGCCAAACTCTTCTCAGCCAGATGATATAACATGGGGTGATGGCCACAAGCTGTAACTTGACAGGTTCAGATTGAGCATTAGGAAAATATTTTGCACTAGGAGGGTAGTGCAGGACCAGATGGGCACTCAGAGCTGTAATAGTTCTGTCCTTGGAGATTTTCAGGGCTGGAGCTGGCGATGGTCCTGCTCACAGGGGCAGGTTGGAGCAGAGCCCTCCAGAGGTCCCTACTGCTGTGTTGTGGTGATAGGAAGACCACTACCTTATCGTGTTGTGGAACTGGAAGCCTGACTTGCTTTCAACAGTAGTTTTTCTGGTGTGCATTGAACTGCAAAAGTCTGACTACTTTTTTTTCCTCTCTCCACCATTCAGATATTCCATTACTGAAGGAAGCATGAGGCCTGCTGTGTTTGTCTAGCCTTCTCCCTCTTGGATTTCTTTCTCCTTCCCTCTCCCTGCCTTCAGGACAGAAGCACTCTGTGCAGCCTTCCCCGTCCTCGCGAGCTGTGCCCTGGATACCTCCAAGCAGAGATGCCCTCAGCTGAAGATCCAAAGGATGTCGCCAGGTTGCCTCCTGGATGCACCAGTGGAGCTGGTGCAGTGCTGGCTTCCCCATTCCATCTGCATCAGGGGCTCAAGGAACAGAGTGGATTTGAGCTCTCCTCCCTTCTTCCCAGCCAGATGTTTGACAGCAGTCTCTGAAGAGCTGCTCTTTTCTTGTGCCTTTCTCCTCCTCACGCCGGCTTGTTGCAGCTTATCAGCCTCTCTAGCCCTTCTGCTGCCCAGAGAGCAGATGCTAAAACCGCCAGCTCACTGGGTGCAGACACAGTTGATATATACGTATATATGTTATATAGGCTCTTCTTCCAGCATCCTCTTTGTGATAAGGCAAGACAAAACACCTCACTGGACTGAAGCTGGGTGTGGGAGGAATCCCAGTTAAGGGCCAGCTTGTGATGTCTAGAAGCACCTCAGATGAGATGGGCTGTGTGACAACTCAGCTGTGCAATAACAATTCATTGAGAATTGCTAGAGCGCTGAAGGCTGAAAAGTCCAACGTGTAGGAATGCCCCCTTCTCAAAAACAATCTCTGCAGGAGTCCATTCCTGAAAATCACTTTGGTCTCCTCCTCCTTTCTCTACCTGCGCAGCGTGCTTGGTTATGCTGTGTTTCTGGAAGCTGGCACTGGGACTGTACTGCCAATAAAACAACCCTTTCAGCTTTGGTCTGGTGCCAGAGCAGCTCCTGATGTTAGGTTGTAGAAGAGCCTTGAAAGGCCAGTGGTTAGCAGGGTCCAGAAAGCTTGGAGGATGGGACTTCCAGTTAACCAACCGTGTGTAACTATGAGTTAGCCCTATTCACTGAGGCATCAGGACTGGAGCCGAATTTGTGGCCCTGCTCATGTCTGAATAAGCTGTGTGTCTCAGCACTTTTTCAGTTAAGGTGGTTCTGCACTAAAGCTTAGATTTCTTTTGGTCAGATCTTCAGGCAGAGGTAACACTTTTCAGATCCGGGTTCAGGTGTTTGAAAATGTCAAGAGAAAAAAAATGCCTTTAGGTAGTGAATGTGTAGTGCCATTGGTACAATCCCAAATTACCTTTCTGGCCACACTAAGTACCTTGGTACTTGGATCCTGGGTAGCTGTCATCTCAGAGGCTTCATACAGCAATGCTGTTTTATCCTATTGGGCTTCAGCAAGCCCACAGAGAAGGGCTTCTTCCTTGTTACTGGGCGTAAGCAGCATTTATAAAGTCTCTCCTAAATACAACATAGTTGCCTGTTGCTGTGAAAGGAAGGTTGGCTACGTTAAGACAGCAGTGCCAGAGGACACCATAGCTTTATTCCTGAACCTAAGTTTTGAAGATTGTTCTAAGTTCTGGTAGCAGGGAAAAGAAAATTCAAAAAATATGTTTACCTCTGCCCCACCGCCAGTTATCTGTAGCAGGTCAGAATATCCTGGTTGCTTTTTGCAGGAAGCCACGTTCATCTGGAGTAGGTGGTCCAATCACAAGAGCATTGTGGTGATTGTAAGGTTCTTTACTGGGGAGGTCTGGACACTGTGTTCCCTGGGATTGGTTTCAGCGAGAAGAGTTGGCTTAGATGCATGTACCTTGTCATAACTGTCTTGAAGTAACTAGAGGAGTATTTGCCCTGTGAGAAGCTGCTAAATTTTTCAGTTGAAGGAGCAAAATATCATGGCCTTATATATCATATGGTAATGTACAGGTAAATAGGGATGCTGTCTTTGCTGCTTTGCTTTTGATTTATGATCCTGACCATTCTCATCCTTGTTTCAGGAACATACCGTCACAGCACTTGGTAAAAGTGACACAACATCTTTATATATAAAATAACTGTGACTTAGCTCCAGTTCCTGGAAGCGGGGATTGACTGTAGTATCCAGCCATGCACCTGCTGCTCCTGTTCCTGATTAGCTGTTAAATCCCAGGATACCTGGGACAGCGCGTGCCTGTGGGTGGAAGAATCCTATTTTCCTTATCCTTGTTTTAGAGAGATGATGTTAATTTAAAAATGCAGTATTTTAAACTTCCTTCCCTACTGTTCATGTTACCTTGCATTAATTAACAAAGATTTGATAAGTCCAATTTGGGTGGTTTGGATATTTTTTGTTCCGTTTGGATGATGAAAATCCCATGTCATTTTACAGTGGGCTGCAGTGTCTCAGCTTCCAACACTGTAGAGGGCAAATGTTGTTTACACATCTGCTGTTGGAATTTTAGAAAACAAGAGTTGGAACATTTGTATTTAGTTTTTAACTCCTACCCTGGAAGTAGTCTAGGCTTGAGCAAATTGTCTCACTCACTGGCTTTATCAGGGCAGATGGAGGCAATGAGTGAGTGTAGTGGTAAGGCTGGGGGGGAGTGCGGAGGAAAGAGTACATGGCTTCTTTCCTGCAGTTTGGAGCAGGAGGAATTGCTCTTTATGTGTTTAAGGTCCTGTCTACTCGAACTGACCCTCAGCAATCAAGGTGTAGAAGTTGGGTACGTGCTGCCTTCCTGTGAGGGACAGTCCTTTAACTCAGCGTTAGCACTGCGTTGGTGGGAGAATGCCATAACAAAGCTGGAAGCTGATCCCGAGGCCTGGCCTTGCCCTGGACGAGTGCCTGCTCCACCAGCAGAAAGCACGTACCATGTGGCCCTGCCTCCTCTCTCTGCTATTGTAAAGCAAGCAGCTGGTGGTTTGAGAGAGAAAATTTGGGTGGGGAAGAGAAGGAAGCAAGCTGCACAGAAGAGGGAGTGCTTTAATTTTCATTTATAGAAATTGTGGGAAATGGCTTTACCGAGGAGGGGGGGAAATGTGGAGGTGGAGGGAAATATGCAAGCGTAGATCTTGTGATCAGGCATAAACAAGCAGCTTCTGTTGGGTTGCTGAGAGGGTAAACCAGCAGCGCTCAGGCCAGTCTGCTGTGGTGGTTGGTAATCCCAGCTGATGCTTCCAGTGCTTGCAGAAGAGCCTGTCTCCTGCAGAACGGGCCCCAAGGACCTGTGCAAGCCAGAACATGCAAAACAGTTAGGGGGGGCATCACATTCCTCCTGCCCACATTCTCAGCTTTAGAGTTTATTTTCGTATAAAATGAGGCAGAGTGGCTGCAGAGGAACCTGAGAGATGTCTGACAGGTTTTTTTCAAGGGGGAGGGGGAGCAAGGCCTCACTTTACTATCAAGTGATTGTTACTCATTTGTGTTTGTTTTAATTCTGCGGAGGCTGAAGGATTGGAGAAGTCTTTTGGGCAGAGATTTAGGAAAAAATAAATTGCACAGTCCTATCTGTACTTACAGGAGCAAAGGCTGAGGCTTGAAGATCCCTCAGTCGTGAGCTCTGCTCTATCTCAGGAGTGTTCGTTACCTCTGAGCAAAGAGCATGTCCTCTTTGACTGTTGCCATAGGAAGACGCTGCCTGGATCTCAGCGTGGTGGATGGGGAGCATAGGGGGCTCAGCCTTGCAAGATGTAACACAGTAAAGGATTTTTTCTTTTTTTTTTTTTCCAATGGGGCTGCATTGTTTTCAAGTACTTTTTTGTACACCTATGTCTGGCAAAAGAATTGAAAGGGAGGTATTTTCTCTTGTTTAAGACTCCCAACATAATCATCTCATGTTCTGTTGTACATATTGGATCCTCTGATATTCAAGAACATTAAAATTATTTCATTACATTGGGAAAAAAAAAACAAACCAAAAATAGCACTTATTTTAAAGGTTTCTGTTGCTTTTGGAGTCTGATAGGTTAAAAAATTAAAAGGGCATTTCAGAAATCCAAAGTAGTATGTGCAATAGAAAGACCACCTTGCTTCCTTTCAGTGGCAAAGTTTTTTAAAAAAACAGATAAAATACAACCTACTGCAGTGTTTACAGCCCAAGTGTTGCAGAACTTGGACCAGTCTGAGAGAACCAGAAGGTGAAGCTGACAGTAACCCATGGGGAAGTGAGGCAGTGACCTGTCAGGATCTACATCATGAAGCTCAGCTCAAAGGAGCCTCCTTTGAGCCTCCTGCCACCTTGAAAGGGATCAGCAGCATTGGTGAAAGAGATGGTTTTGTGTGTTCGGGTTTTAAATAGCCTACACCTCCCTGTCATGAACTATGGAAGAAGTAAAAATGAAGTCGGAAGGAGAGGTGTGTGGCAGCATGTGTGCCTGTGGAGTTGTTGCCGAGTTACTAAGTTTTGGAGGGAGAAGAGCTTAATGCATTTTCATCCTTTTCCTTAACCACCAGGGAACTTGCTGTATAGAAGAATGCTTACTCTGCAAGCATGCTGCTTGTTGTTCAGCACTTGGATGTCTCCCCTGAGGTTTCTCCTTAGCCTTTCTGCTCCGGTGTGGTGATTCTTTTAATGCATCTGGAGCCTTTATTTGGCCTTGCAGCACACAGAGAAGTCAGGTGTGTTAGGAAGAAATCTGTTCCACTTGTTTTGGGAGGAAGCATCCTGAGATGCTCCCAGACGTGGATGACTTGGGTCACTACTGAGGAGCATGGCTAAGAGAGCAACAGGCTCAGCTGTTGGAAATAATCTGGGATGGTTAAGTCATTTGCAGCACAGAAAAGGGAACACGAGGAGGGGGTGGTAAGGAAGAGCTGTGACTGAAAACAGAGGTATGCTGCAGGCTAATGTGTTCATGACTGGCTTGTAAGGAAGCTTCTGCTTTGTGTAGATGATTTAGAAGACACCAGCAGGCTTGCTGTATTAAAAAAAAATTAATGTACAACTGTTTGGACACACTTGAGATTTCCTTGTTGACCTTTTTAGAACATATTTGCAAAACCCGGTTTTACTGTTCTAATAGCAGTTACTTAAAAAATAAATAAAAAAAATGCCTTATTACTCTCTCCAGACAACTAATTAAATCAATTTCACTTTGTTTTCTGTATATAAATGCAATAAATCCCATCCATTTTGCACATCCTGCCTCGCCCCATCCTCACCCTTTAGTCCTTACCAGGGAACTGCAGATTGAACTTGCTCTTTGTGAACACCTTTGTTTGCAGAAGAACTTCATTAGAAAACATCTATTCTCTATGATACGCTTTGAAAGTGCAGAGAGGTTTCCTAGAGCAGGCTTCATTTCAAGGCATATTTTTATACAGGAAATAAACCCTCTTTGAATCCTTCATCCACTACTCTTGCCCTTCCACACCAGGACAGAGCACGCCACATTCCGCACTCCTCTTCAGGGTCCAGTGTTCAGCACTGCTTCCAAACTCAGTCCTCTGCAGATGATGTATGGATAGATGTACCCACAAGAACGGGTTCCACTGATGCTCTGCATATGCTTTCCGTAAGCTGTGCTTTTGCTTCTGTCCTGGAGCAA